GACCAGAGGTCCATCTTGTCCAGCATCCTGTCTCACACAGTGGCCAGTGAGTATGTGTGTGTGTCTGTATATGTGTACACACACATATACATATATACATACACAAACATGCATACACACACACATATATACCCACAAATATATACACAAATACAGTTGTTATGTTCAACTCACACCTGTGTACATTTAATTATCTTAGTACAAAACATTCTACAATGAAAAACAATCTGTCAGAGCAATACAAACTATAGAACAAGGGAGAGTAAAAATGAGTATGATATATTTGCGAGTAAGATATACATGTATTGATGTGGTTCTACATATTGACTGTATTTCATTGATCTGATTAAGTCTTTTAGGACACAACGAGGGCTGTAATATGTCCGGGACCTCGTGATCTATTTACACAGATCTGGAAAGTTTCACTGGACTTTTTTTTTACTATGTTCTATATTTGTATTGCTCTATGTTCTATATTTGTACTGCTCTGACAGAGATTGTTTTTCATTATAGAATGTTTTGTACTAAGATAATTAAATGTACACAGGTATGAGTCGAATTTTACAACTGTATTTGTATGTGTATATCACACACTGGCCAACCAGTTCCTCTGGTGGGCCAACAACAGGGCATAGAGACCAAGGCCTTCCCCTGGTGTTGCCCTCCTGGCACTGGGATTCAGAGGTTGACTGCCTCTGAATATGGAGGTTTCCTTTAGTCACCATGGCTAGTAGCCACTGATCGACCACTCCTTCATGAATCTATCTAATCCCCTTTTCAAGCTGTCTATTCCCGTGCTCATCACTATATCCTCTGGCAGTGAATTCCACATTTTAATCACTTGCTATGTAAGGAAGTATTTATTTCCTTTTGTCCGTTCTGAATCTACTGCCCATCAGCTTCACCAGATGCCCTCGAGTGTTAGTATTCTGGAAGGGGGAGAAAAATTTCTCTTAAATCTTAACCCCATGCATAATTTTAAAAACCTCGATCCTGTCCCCCTTAGTTGTCTATTTTCTAAATCATCTGTTTTCTAAACTCAAAAGTCCCAGATGTGTTGGCTTGAATGTATATGCTGCCAGGCTCAAGAAGCCTGCTACCAGCTTCTGACATTTTTCAACCTTTGTCTGTTTTTTAGCTTCACGCCGTGGTGGGACGCTTGTATAATTTCCATTCTCTTGATTTTGGAAAGTTCAGTAAGGCAAGCTGAAGAAACCCTGACTTCACTGAGACAGTACTAAAGGTAAAGGTTCCCTTGCTCGAAAGCCAGTCGAATCCGACTCTAGGGTTGCAGTGCTCATCTCCGTTTCAAAGCCGAAGAGCCAGTGCTGTCCGAAGACATTTCTGTGGTCATGTGGCCGGCATTACTAAACACCAAGGCGCACGGAACGCTGTTACCTTCCCACTGAAGTGGTACCTATTTATCGACTTGCAAATTCTTGCTTTCAAACTGCTAGGTTGGCAGGAGCTGGAACTAGAGACGGGAGATCACTCTGTCATGCGGCATACTCGGGTCTCGAACTGCTGAACTACCGACCTTCCACAGCTTGCAGTTCAGCATCTTAACCACTTGAGCTTAAAACATACACCATCAATTTCATTACCGCTGTAACCTCAAGGGTTATTTAATTTGCTGAAGTGGCATCTGCATATATTGAACAACTTGTTTTCCTTTGGTTTGCCCCCAACATACACTTCAGGAAGACAAAAAGAAGTGTTAAGAGTTTACTGTATTTTTTTTGGAATACGGAAGAATGGAGAATGTTTGTTAATTGGGCTAACAAGCCCTCTAGATCTCCTGTTATTCAAAAAGGAAAAAAAACAGTGAAAGAGAAATTATAACATTAATCAGCTTTATTCACAGTTTTGTAACACTCCATTGTTCGGAGAAACAGCAATGCCTGCCAAGGGACCTATTCAATACTCTTGAGACACACCACTCCTACTAAAGTCAGAAGGAATTCTGCACTGTGAAGGAGATGCTTTTATAGACACTAACACCCTCAAATCATTGTTCAATCCATTCTGCATTGCATCCCCAAACAGTCATGCAAAACTTTAAAGATAAACTGCTAAGAAGAAGTTTTAGCAGCAGCACTCCTTGATTCAGAAATTAAATGCTGTTCCTCTCAAACTGCTCATTTTGCAACACTTCACACATAATTAACCTTCTCAAAAACCCACATCTTCAAATCAATGTATTGTGTATCAAATTTTTCCTATATTTTGTTAGGCAAAATAGATACATGAGATGGAAAGATGACTTGCAGAGATGGTGCGCACGCAAGTTGTCAACCTACACCTTCACGCAAAGACAAGTTAGCTTCAGCTAAAGTAGCTGTGGTAAGCAGTGGGGTACCGCAGGGATCAGTACTTGGTCCACTGCTTTTTAACTTGTTCATTAATGATTTGGAGATGGGAGTAAGCAGTGAAGTGGCTAAATTTGCGGATGATATGAAGTTGTTCAGGGTGGTGAAAACCAGTGAGGATTGTGAGGCACTCCAAGGGGATCTGTCGAGAATGGGCAAGTGGGCGTCAACATGGCAAATGGGGTTCAATGTGGCCAAGTGCAAGGTGATGCACATTGGAGCCAAAAATCCTAAATATAAATACACATTGATTGGGTCTGAACTGGCAGAGAATGATCAAGAGAGAGATCTTGGAGTTGTAGTAGATAACTCACTGAAAATGTCGAGACAGTGTGTGACTGCAATAAAGAAGGCCAATGCTATGCTGGGGATTATTAGGAAGGGTATTGAAAACAGATCAGCCAATATCATAATGCCCCTATATAAATCAATGGTGTGACCTCATTTGGAATACTGTGTGCAGTTCTGGTCACCACACCTTAAAAAGGATATTATAGCTTTGGAAAAAGTGCAGAAAAGGGCAACTCGAATGATAAAAGGGTTGGAACACTTTCCCTATGAGGAAAGGTTAAAGCGCTTAGGGCTCTTTAGCTTGGAGAAAAGACGACTGAGGGGTGACATGATCGAGGTTTATAAGATTATGCATGGGAAAGAGCAGGTAAAGAAAGAGGTACTTTTCTCCCTTTCTCACAATACAAGAACTCGTGGGCACTCCATGAAACTGCAGAGCGGTCGGGTTAGAACGGATAAAAGGAAGTACTTCTTCACCCAAAGAGTGATTAACACTTGGAATTCACTGCCACAGGAAGTGGTGGGTGCTACAAGCATGGACGGCTTCAAAAGGGAATTAGATAAGCATATGGAGCAGAGGTCCATCAGTGGCTATTAGCCACAAGGTATAGATAGGGACTCTGGGGCAAGTGATGCTCTGTCATCTTGGTGCTTGGGGGGGTCAACAGTGGGAGGGCTTCTAATGTCCTGGCCCCACTGGTGGACCTCCTGATGGCACTGGTATTTCTGGCCACTGTGTGACACAGAGTGTTGAACTGGATGGGCCTTTGGCCTGATCCAACATTGGCTTCTCTTATATTCTTAAAGGCCCTTACTGCACTTCTTCAAACATTATACAGCAGCAGCATTCTGGGCATTTATCACTGTTGCCCCTCTTTTTTCTTTCAACGGCACAGTGTAGTGGTTAAAGCATCAGACCAGAATTAGGTTTGAATCCCCACTCATGCCGCGGAAGCCTTGCTGGGTGATCTTGGGCCAGTCACACACTCTCAGCCTAACTTACCTTACAGGGTTGTTGTGAGAATAAAATAGAAGGCGAGAAGAACAACGCAAACTATTTTGAGTCCCCACTGGGGAGAAAGGTGGGGTATAAAATAATAAATATATATTTATACGTGACTAAAAAGCTTACTTTGTGCATTCTGAAAGTTAGCTGCTACAATACAAAAGAGACTGCTCTGCAATTTTCTTTATTTATGGGCTGTCATAGATGTACCATACTCTACACTAACCGTGGTGCAGTAGTCAGGACAAAATGAAATGCTCAACCCCCCACATCCCTCTCAGCCATAGTTTGGCATCATCTGACTATTGCTAACAATGGGTAAGTGTACTTGTTAATGACAGAAAATTATGCTCAGTGTTTGCGGAGCATTATGCCTGCACCAGCCCCATGACCCTGCTCTAACTAAGAAATTGAGCATCTTTTACTGGAGTAGAAATCTTGGCTCACTGCAACTGTAGACAACACCCCCTCTGCACAATATGGACTGCATACATGTGGCTGAAGAGCTGAACGATTTGGCCACTAGGCCACAATGTACTTTGGCTGCAGCTATTTCCATTGATGCAGCCTCTCTCTGTAGAGGCTGGAAATTCATTGCCTGTTGGTTGTGTTGGATGAGTTCTGCATAACAGTCCTTTTACAGCTACTGGTACAACAAAAAGCTATCACCTCATGTACTTCTGTACCTCATATTGATTGTGAGACAATTTTCACAGTTTCTGTCTTTTTATAACATCATACACACATTTGCCAAACAGTTATATATTTTCTTTTCCCTCACAAAGAGTATGCAGCCATAATTATTATCAACACACACAAAAAAAACCCCATGATTTTTTTTCTTTCCATGATAGCTTCAAAACTGCACATCTCACAGACATTGCTTTTTCAGGGGAAAATGTTTTGTTATCTCCTCCCTTCCACCAGCGCCAGCACACATGTTCCACAAGAAAAAAGAGCCTGCCAATACACAGCTGTAAGATTCAATCACAGGTTAAAAACTAACGCCAGGAAAGCCTAATCCCCCCAAGCATCCAAAGGTTCCTCATTTTCAATGTCACCGTCTTTCGTGCAAATTGGAATATAATATTTTAGAGTGTGTATGTATGTGTCCCCCCTTTCTAACTATTCTGCTAAGCTGGAGTGCTAAACTGATCCCGTTCTCTGAATTACTATTTCTACACCAATTCACATGTTACTGTGCTATATAATCCATAGCAGTTTAAGACAAACACACACCCCTTCCTCCTAAACCTCTTTAGTTTGATTTTTGTGTTAAACAACCATTGGTGTTTCTAAGAAACTGAAGAACAAAGCCAAAACATTGTTTCTACCTGTCTCAATCCTCCGGCCAATTTCTGGATGAAGACACTGCTCTTCTTCATCCTGCAGAACTATTACCCTTTGCCAGACTGTATCCAACTCAAGTTTCCACTCGGTCACACTCGCTTCTCCTTTCCAGACCACCACGCGGGAAAGTAACCAGGTCCAGGGTTCTATCCTTTATTCAAGGGATCCTTGGGTCATACAGCTGAGCGACTACCCTCAGGCAGTTTATTTCTCTCCTTTGTGAAATCTGCACAAAGTGATGAGGGAGGAAACATACAAGTGCTCTCATTTGTGGTCCCTGTGTTGCCTCCCCACCATTCCCTTTAACTTAGTAAAGAACGAAATAATTCAGCTGCCACAACAAAGAATTGGAAGGAACTCTCCTTTGATAGGATGCTTCTGTGTGGTCCCAGATCATGCTGATTACGTACCATATTTTCCTGAATAGCTCTCATTGTTTACCCTTTGCTTGCACTCCCTCCAGCATCTCCACCCCTTGGGCTCCCCAGTATTCAAATTCCCTTCCCCATACTGGAATAATGCAAGTAGTGGACTTTATCTTTCATGCTTTCTGAAGTCAAACACATACACTGTTCCATTTCCGTATTTTTCCCTAAAATAGCTCCAGCATCAATTCTGTATAATGCCTACGGCACCACACACTAAAAACAGTTGCCCAGCCTATCCCACAAGGCCCTTATACCACAATCACATTTGTTACTTTAAGATAAACTATGCTATAGAAGCCTTGCCAATAATTAAGCAGTAAAATCTCCCTTACTCTGGAATCAACACGCAGGAGAGCCACATGTTCTTTGTATGCTCTTATCAATGAGCACACCACTGGCTAGAACCTACACACATAGTTACAATTAATACACATGTGTAGGACATATGCCTGTTGTGCTTTTTTTGAAAGGAGAGGATCCACACCCATATATCCACGAATCTCCCATCATTGCCCAAAAAGATGACCCAACACTTTCACGTATCTACATGTGATACGTTACAGTCTTCAGTGTTTGCCTTTTTCCTGGAATAAAAAAATAACAGTGTGACAACACTGTTGTCCTCATTCACCCAATCAAAACACATAAGGTACAAGTAACATTACGCTCTTCTGCGTGTGTGCACACTTGTGTCCTTGCCACCTACCGAAGCAGGAAGGACCAACACCTGCACAGCCAGCCCCAGGCAAGATCTGCCCCCCAACACCATTAGGATTAGTCATCACCGTGTGTCCCTCCCCCTCCACCATTCTACGTTTTTTCCAAGACCAGGGCTCCTTCCCACCCACCTCCCCTTATTCAGTGTATCATCTTCCATCCAATCCCACTCTGCAATCTGCTAGGCCTCTCCTTCTCCCCCTCCCAATACTCCCACAGAAAACCTTGCCAATGAGAAAAACACACTCCCTTGGCTTTTTCACGTACACTTAATATTCCTTAAATTTATATTCTTCCACTCAGAAATGCCAACATCCTTCCAGAGCATCTCCTGCAATCCCTACCTTTCACCATTTCCACCACCCCATAATTCCAATGTGATCACACAAACAATCTCCCACCATCCTGAACATATCAGAAACAAACATTTTAATGAACAGGTACCTCCACTCTTTGCAGTATTGTCCTCCCATCATGGTTAACTTTTCTAATTTCTCCAGCAGTTCATCACTTTCCCTCAGTGTAATCTGTCCCTCCTAGCCCAACAAACCCCCTTCCCCCAAAAAACCCTAGGAATTTGCAGAATTCATGTATTTGAAGGGCTTTTCTTAATGCTCTCTCTCTGAAAATTAATCCATTCCCCTCTGGCACACAACACTCAAGACCACCATCTAACGCACACAAACACACCACAGTCCCCTATCCAATCTCTCTTAGCTCATGCCCAAGGGCACTTCGTTTCAATGGTGGGGTGGTTAAAACAGAACTGTCTCAATGCAATGTAATCCATCTAGGACACTAACAGTGAAATCCTATGCAGACTTACTCCAGTCCAAATCAACTGATTTCAACAGGCTCAGACTGCAGTAACTCAGCACAGGATAGCACCACAGCATCCCCTGCACCTTTTGCTGCTCTCCCCATCACAATATGGCCCCCATAAAATCCAGAGATTACACAGAGGCCCAAACTTTCTACAGTTTTACCCCCACACACACACACACACGTACACTCTGTCTCACTCAGACATACACAGAGAGCTCAGGCTGTTCACCTCCCTGCCCCCAAACTCAGGGAAAATGTGTCCTCTCCTGCCATAAGCTCCCTTCCCAGCTAACTCCTTCCACCTACGGGGGAGGGGGGGGGAGTCTGTTAGACAGACGGCCTATAAACAAAGTCAAAAGAGGAGCAAACATCCTCTAGTCCAGTCCAATCCATCCCTGCCCACCTCCCAAATTACTGAACCACTCAAAGGACCACCAAGAAATCCCCACCCCGTCCTCCTAAGACCCCCTCCGCTCCCCAGTTTTTTTAAAAAGGGGATATTCTAACTAGGGTTGGCAGCCTTCAGGTGTGGCCTGGAAATCTCCCGCTTTTGCAACTGGTCTCCAGCTGACAGAGATCAGTTCCCCCTGGAGGAAACGGCTGCTTTGAAGGGTGGACTTTCTGGCACTGGACCATCCTGAGGTCCCTCCCTTCCCCAAACCCCACCCTGCCCCGGATCCACCCCCCCAAAGTCTCCAGGTGTTTTCCAACCCAGCCCTGGCAGCCCCAATCCTAAAGCCTCCTCGAAGGCGAGCTAAATCTTACCCCCAAACCACAATCCGTGACACCTCCCGTTCACTACAGTCATTTTTTTTTAAAAAGGAAAAGCACTCCTCACATTGACAGGGAACCCTTAATACAGAAACAGATGCGGTAAAATCCCTGGGGATTTGGAGAAGCGCCCGGGGA